GATTTGATCTCGCCATCTGATCTTAGGCCTAACTTTAACTCTAATTCCCATTGTTTTCTATTTGAAGATCTTAAATGTCAAGGAAGAAGGGTCTATTCAAAAGATGTGACCCGCAAGCATCAAGCGACTTAATTTGATGCATTTGTTGATATCATCTTCCTTGAATAGTTTATATATCTCAATATTATGTTGTTGTCTCCATAAGCTATCCACATTTATAGCACCAAAAATTTTTCTCAAAGTATTTCTCTCAAAAACAGCACGAAATTTGTGATTTAGTTGAAGTCCATGTTTTGGATCCATATGTTAAGACAGGTTAAGTGATAGTTTCATATAGCATTGTTCGTCTTGTAACTAATTTTCACTTTAGAAATGTTCTTAAGCCATGAAGGCATCGATTAGCTGCCATAAATTTGAACTCCCGTTCTCACGAGCAAGAGTCCAACATTCTACCTACAAAGTTATCCCGGCCTGTGAAGGCTATTCTTATAACTGATATTATAATGGTATTTTTGTGCTCTTTCCTCATTGTTTTGTTTTATTCATAAATGACACAAAGTTAATCCTTTTTTCACTGTACCAGTATTTTTTATCCAAATACTAAAAAAATAAATATCCACTATTTATGTTGGATGTCTTAAAGAAATAAAAGATTTTTTGAAACTTAAAGCTAACTGAAACGCTATTGAACATTTTGAGATCATCACATCTCTTAAAGAGAGTATACAACAAATTCTTAAGAACTACGCATCATTAAGAGATTAGTTTCAAAATATTTCTCACACCAATAATAAACTTAAAACTTTATGACGCATGAAAAAAAAACATCCGTTATTAATGACTAAAAAAATCGGAATCTTAAGCGTGCCGACATTAATGTAATTTTAAGAATTTAAACGCCTCATCTAGCACCAAAAGAAGGGGGTCGGGAATTACAGAAAAAATAGCTACAAAAAAATGGAATTTGACTCTGTAAGCAGACAGATTTGATTAACATATAAACATCTTCTTTAAAAGACAGAATCACTAAAATCTGTCGTCCTTGTCTCGCTTGAAGAGTAAAAAAATAATCATTCTTTTACCCCTCAGCCCGGGCAGATTTTTTTACCTGCTCCTTAGCATCCCCTACCCCCTTGTCATCATTTTATCTCTTAAAACCACATCATTTTTTTTTTTTACGAAAAGATTTTTTTTTGTCTTGGCGCATTTTTTTTTTCTTTTTCCTTCTTTTCTATGACGAAGTTGATTTTTGCGCTTGTCTCGGGTGTTTTTTTCCCACTCGTTTTGGCTCCTATTATTTTTTTTCCTTTTCCCTTCAACTGCATCACTTAAGCAAGCATTGAAGATGATGGCTCTCCGGTTTCTTTTCCCTTCACCCCCAAAGGAGGTGGAATGAGATTTTTTTTAAAAAAAAAAGGTTTGAAAGAAGAAAAAAAAAGAAGTATGTGATGAAAAAAAATGACAAGTGCGGGTAGATAACGAGTATGAGAGGATCGGATTGTTGAAAAAGTTTTTCTCTGTAAATATATATATTCGTTTATTTTGTTATTTTAGTTTTAGATTTTTTTTATGCGTGTTGATCTTAGATTTACACCCTGTTGCGTTTAAGCTGTTGTCGCTGCACAGGATAAACTCTCCATGTTTAACTATTTTTTTTAAGAAAAGATATTGTTTTCTTTGGTAAACTGAAAATATTAATGTTACTATATATTAAACTATTTCTGATACAATTACATAAAGAGAATTATGAGAAATAAGAAATTATAGTTAATAGCAATGAAAAATTTATTTTTCCATTATTCCGTTAAACTATTGCATCCTTATATCTATTATCATATCATATGCTATACTTTCCTATTGCTACAGTTATCTGGTATTGTATTATCCATTATACTATCATATCGTTACATTTATCTTTCATTTTAACATTTACTATACTATCACATTATTTATTAAACTATCAACTATTATATTATTTTATTGTTATATCTATCAACTATCATATTGTAACATTTATTTATATAATTATTGGACTATATATTAGATTTTTCTGATCTTATATTGGTCTATTATCATTGTATCTGCTATACTTTTCTGTTATTAGGTTAAACAATTATATAATCTTATAATTTATTAATCAATGTGTTATTTATCTATTATCGTAATATCTACAATACTATAGTATTCTTAAATTTATCTAATACATTATTATATCATTTATTTTTAAAATTATTCTAATATATAATAGATTTTTCTGTTTCAATATTTATCTATTATCTTTTTATCGACAATACTAGTCTGTTATTATATTTATCAATTAAGTAATCTTATGATTTATTAAATCGAAGCATTATATTTATCCATTATCGTAATATCTACTATAATATAGTCTTGCTAAACTTATCTATTTTAGTCTTTTATTTATTTATAAAATTATTGCATGATATATTAGATTTCTTCTGTTTTGATATTTATGTATTTTCATCTTATCTGCTATACTATTCTGCTATTATATTTATCAATTATATAATCTTATAATTTATTAAATCAACTTATTTTCATATTTATTTATTATCGTAATATCTATAATACTATCATGTTGCTAAATTTATCTAAGGCAATACTGAGTGATAATTGGAATGATATTTATTACTATTATTTATAAGTATAATTGAGTTCCTTGAGGAATTTTTGTTTAAAAGAATAATACGCCATCCTTTTATACAATGAAGAAACTTTTTTACAGTTAGCCAACATGTAATCCTTGTAAAGTAAGAAAAATAGTATTGTCAAAACTACCAGAATATGGTAAAATTTGTCGTGTTTCTAACTCTATGGGAACACTAAAATGCTCGGTGACTTTTAGCAAAGCGCTCTGATAATAATTTTGGTAAAATTGCCGATAAAATATGGTTTTATAATATGCGATAAAATAAAATAAATGTAACAAAACTTGGTAGTTTTATTATGAATCCTTAGATCATAGCATAAAAGCCATTTATTCAGTCAAATTTATTTTTCAGTTTTGTATTTCTTGCTGAATGTGTGGTAATAAGAACTAAACTCTTGAGAACTAGAATTTCTGCTAAGCTAATAATATAGAAGAAGTAAAACCATAAAATGAATGGTTTAAATAAAATATATTTCTTTTCTTTTATAACCAAAGTAACGTATTTTTACCAGAAATATTATGATCATACAGTGTGGTAATTTTACCAGATTTCTTTTCCTCCGCCGACTAAAGCTAGTTTGCGTCAGTGCTGTGGTCGGTGCAAGTTGACATCAGGATAAGAATCAGGGCCTTCCTTATCAAACATCAATTCTCAGATAGCAGTCTAAGGTTGGTTTTAATGTAAGAAACAACATTTATCACATAATCCAACATGGTTTATAAAGGATTCGCAAACAAACCGTGCAAGCTTGAAAAAATATTACTGTTAACTACACTAGTTTACCCGTTATAAGGTTAACCTTAGACCTGCATGAACAACTCATTTATATCGAGATCGGATTTGTCTTTACAAAACAAGGCTATGAAAACCTCTTGAAATTGAAGATGAATTATCATGTGCAAATCAAAAGTAGAAAGCTTTCTTTAACTGAGAAGGGCACCTTCTCAACGCTTATTTTAAGATTTTATGACCATCTCTAAGAAACAATGTTTATTTTTCCTAGATTTCATACTCTTTCTTTAAAACTTTAAAATGAAGGTTTGCCTGATCACTAAGTTTTCAATGTAAACAAAATGTTATATTTGAGAGTCTTGACAAAGCTAGAATGGAAAAAGAAGTTACAACAAGGTTTAGAGCAAAATCCAAAAAAGTAATATTTTTTGTACCTTTATTTATTCTTTAATAAAACAAGCTTAGCATACTAATATTTCTACTAAGCTTTAAAAAGGATTAATTTGTCAACATTCTTATACGCGCAAAACAAGATGAAAATGTAACGTTAGCCGTTAGGTTGTCTAGAGTTATTTGTCTAAATTTTAGAAGGAACCTCAGATCAAAATTAGATTCTTTTTTTCGATTCTCATTATCTGTTTTCTATCTGAAAAGTTGCTAAATGAATAAGAAAATTGTCTGAATAATTTGATGTAAGAAAAAAAAGAGTTTCTGCTCCTTTTCATACAGTGAAGGAAACGTACAGAAATGGAGTGACCTCCTTCCTGATATGAATAATCCCAAAAACTGTAGCACAATCGTATTTGAAGACTACTCGGGGAAGAATATTTTATTTCCATAAAAGCTGAATCGGAAGGAAAAAAAATGATTTTGTGTTTAAAAAAGAAGGGTTTTTCCTCAGTAAGACCCATCTTCACCATGAAATAACTCTCGGTGAGAACCTATTTTTCGCGTTGTTGATTAGTCAAAACTAAATAATTCACAAAAACGATTCGAGAGGAATTTTTTTCAGTCGAATGAATGGCAATCCAATTTTCCTTTTTTTGTAAAAAAAATGGACATAAACTGTTTTTATTTCCCTCGGTCTTCATTACTTACCTATCCGGATTCTCTGAAATATTTTTTCAATCATATGAAAGCCTATTCCCTCGTTAACGACATCAATTCCTCCCCTCTAAAATTCTGGTGCATTTCTCTTGCTCTGATTTGCCCATCTCGGCTACCATGGTTTTTCACGTTTTGCTTTTACCTTAACTTATGTTTTCTCATTAGAATCTTTGTATTTTCTTTTTCAAATATGTTTTTCCTTCTTCAAATATATTTTTTACAAATATATTTTCTTCAAATATATCAACTTTTTTCCACCTTCATAAATATGTGAAGTCAATTATCAATTCAAGTATTTATAATTCATTTACCCACTTTGAGTAAATCCAAACACAAACATTTCTTTAATTCTTACTTCTTCATTTGTTGCGACAAATAAACTTCCGATAATAAATCGCTTATAAAACATATATATATAATTTAATGATTGTTAATGGTAATTAATTTACTCTTGTGGAATAATTGATTTTATGAAAATTATTTTTTCAGGTTCACCAAGACATGGACATGAAGGCTGAAGGTTCGCGCAATCCGAATCTTCCAGTAGACAATGGGGCGATCCCACGTCCTGCTTCAGAAAGTGCAAACTGTGCAGCTTGCCAGAAACCAATCAGAGAGAGGTATCTACTAAAAGCATTAGACCAGTATTGGCATGAAGACTGCCTCAAATGCGCCTGCTGTGACTGCCGTCTTGGCGAAGTTGGCTCTACGCTTTTTACCAAAGCTAATCTCATTCTTTGCAAACGGGACTACCTCAGGTAAGATAGGTGGCAACAATTGTTTTTTGGCATACTTTACTGTACATTAAATATTGAACATGATCCAATAATGCCTGTACTTATACAACAAACCTAGAAATTTAGTCCTGTCTTAACTTGTATTACAGTTTTGTATTCTCTAACATTTATTTCAATATAAAAGAGAGTCTATTTCATTTTCAATTGCGTTGACGATTAATTTGTAACAGTTTATAGTGTAATCAGATTTATGTAACAGTTTTTTCACTATTATCTGAACTGCATTAAAAAAATGTCTTTTCTAGCGAGGTTTTTATTAACAGTGATCTAAAAGAAAATCCCAGATGCTTTATTTGTTAATTTTCACCAGTTAAAAGACTAAGACTGAATACTGTATCAGTTTTTCTACCATTTTGTGAACCGCAGCAGAGGAATATGCTCTCTATCGATGCTTTTACAAGTGGTGATGAAAAAGCAAACTGTATTATTGACTAAAAAGAGAATCTTTTATTTCCAGAAGATTTATATATTATTCCGTATCAGTTTATAGAATCAGACTTTTGTTACGGACAGTTTTTTTTCTGCTATTGTCTCAGCTGCGTCAGAGAATTGTGTTTTCTAGTGATGTATTTATTATAGGTCTTCTAAAAAAGAATAAGTATTATTTATAGTTACTTTATCTATTATTTTGTACCAGTTTAAATAATCATACTTACAAAAGTAACAGTTATTCTGTCATTATCTGAAGTGCATTTAAGGAATGTGTCTCTCAGTGATGTTTTTATTATTAGTGATGGTGATCTAAACGAGAATTAATTTCCTTTTCAGTCACTCTTTACTGTTATTTCGTACCAGTTACTTTACTTTAAACAAAGTATGTTGAAAACTGCTTTAAGTAGTCAATCCATATTGCTTGTATGATAGCAAAATTATTTAGTACTTACTAATAGTTGGTTTTAACATAAAAGTATAATCAAATTTCAACGTTAATTTGTAAGGTACTTTTAAAATAAATTCTCTACATTCGCATGAAAGGGATGTTTAATAAATATCTTATACATCAAATTATAAAAAGTTTTTCCCTAATGTCAAAAGTACTTCTCTAGACTACGTGCAAATTACATTCAATCAAATATTTTTACTTCATACCAATAATATCAATAATGCGGAAGTAGATATAACTCCCTGAGATACATATTTGAAATGATTAAAAAAAATTTTAAAATTATCTTGTAAGGACCTGAAATTTTATTTTTTTACATAACTGCATATAGTTAGAAATGTGCTATAAATTGTCAAAATAATAGGATATGAACTCCCTTACAGAGATAAAATATCTGTATCATGAATTTTTAATGAACCATTTATTTTCCATTGAATTTATAATCAGCGTCGTTTTCTTCAATTATATTAATAGAAGAAAGCACAGAGCACTGATACTTTTTGCGAAATAATATTAAAACACAGATATATATTTATGACCTTAAAAAATTTTTATATTTCACATGGATGTGTATCATTATTTCCAAAAGAATTATGTCTGGATAGTTATTTCATTGCTCTCATTTACTCCCAATTATAAATTCAAGCTATCTACCCTTCATATATAGAATATAAATAGGTATATTCGTTAATATAAAAACTTCTCTTGATTCAAAAGTTATTAAGGGGTAAAAAGTTGACATGTTTTGAGTGCTCAAAAATAGCACCCCATTCTCGAGACTCACCAAACGCGAATGGGAGGAAAACAAGAGAGATTACAACCAGAAAACTTAAAGTAACCAATTCAAAAATGGAAAATAAAATAAAGGTGGAAAATAAAACTAGAAAACAGTAGCTTCCACTAGGAGCAAAACAGGTCAGGTTGCGTTTCCACACGCTATAGAGAGGTGGTGAAGAACTCTTGTTGTTAACAAGAAAAGAAGCATGAAACAAAATTTTAGGAAGTGAATTTTAGTGCTAAGTGAAGAGGGGAAAGAGGTAGGTAAGTAGGTACTTTATTTATGTCGCTCTAGAGTTGCACAATGGGCTATTGGCGATGGTCTAGGAAACACCCCTGAGGATGATGCGAGGACATGCCATCGCAATTTTGATCCTCTTCAGAGAGGATGGCTAATCTGCTTTGGTAGTCCGACGATCTGCTTGAATTCGAGCACTTTACGGTAGAACAGTTAAACGAGGACCTATACCGCCCACCTTGGGGTCCCGAGTAGGCTCATCAAAGTGGTCGCTTAATGACCGCAGCCAGTGATGCTTGACTTCGGTGTTCTACTGGGAACCGTTTCTATACGATCAGTCCACTACGGGACACAAGGAATAAAAGTGTTTGGTTGCTATCGAAATTAAATTTATGCCCAAGTATTCGGCATTTTTCTTAACATTGGATTTATTGAATTTTGATTCCAGACATATATGTAATGTTTCTTTGATCTTAATTACAAAGCGTGACTCGGTGGGGTTTGTTTCAGTTCCACAGCTTCGAGGATTGTTTAGAAATTTACTTTGCATAATAAACCGACCGGAATGTGCAGTGGTTAGGGAGCTGACCTCACACCAGACAGGTCCTGGGTTCGAATCCCGGACAAGGCATGGATGTTTTTTCCTTCTCTATACTATATATCCTTACTGCGGAAGCAACTTTGGCCCACTTAATAGGGGTGCCGTTGAAAGAGTTGCCAACAAATCTGCCCAACTGAAACCTCAATGAGGAGTATCAGTGGGGTGGGCATTAGAAGAAAAAAAAACTTAGCATAATAATGTTTCTAACTTACTTTCTGCATTAATATCATAAAATAGTTTACTTAACCTGAGCATAAATTAAGTTTCTTGATGTAAACAACTTATTACATCGCTTGTTCTAAAAAAAGGATGCATGAACCGTTGATTGAAGAGGCGAGAGAAAGATATAAGCATTTCCAAAACTGCAACTGCTACTTTTCATGAAGAAAAGTACAATTTCAGTTGTGCGTTGTCGGTGGCGCGTTGGTATGGGGAAGGTGTGTGTGAAGGAGGTCTAAGATGAAGGATTGCGCAGAAGGGGGGGAGGGTGCAACGAAGAAAAGAATACACCGACTGGAAAAGAGGTCCGGGGAAAGAGGGAGGATGAGGGAATTAACTAATTAATTAGGGAATTAGTCGAGGATCTTGTTTAAAACGGGGTAATTAAAATCCGAGAGGCAGAAAATTGGGAATGAATTACGGCGTGACAGCCATATAAGGCATGTGTAGGGGGGTACGAAGGGGGTAAATGGGGATTCGCATATACACTTTTATGCGAATTTAAATTGACGCGTATACCTTCTTTCTTGCTTTTCACCCCCAAATGCCTAAAGTTGTTCGACTTGGGGATACACATGCCAATTGATTACTTCTCGTTGGGAAAAGGAAACTTTTCGGGGGATTATGCCCAACGATGTGTACCGCACGAGCCGTCGTCAGTGCAGGCAGCGACCTAGGCTTTGACGCGATGTACCCACCACGTTAACCCACGATGATTAATACCCGAGTAATTAAAATTAATCGGTGATTTTGAGAAATACTTTTTCGTCATTAATGCAAAGACGAGTGTAGTTGGAAAGTGAAGGTTCTGCGCCATGCTATGTCCTTCTGTTCTCTCTTTCATACCAGTTTGCTTTTAAAAATTAAGATTGATCTTCAGAAATTAATTGGTATTTCGTACTCCTAAAGGAATGGTTTAATGACTTCCATAGAATGAAATTTTAATTTCTGAAATAAATAACTTCGATTGATCAATTACTGTGCATATTTATTGGATTTCATTTAAGTACACGCAGTGATGGAAGCTCGTGCGGTATTTAAAATAAATCTAAATGCGCCATATGTTTGATAAATTGATTGTAAAATTTACTATAGTTCGATTGAACATTTAAAAATACATATGAAAGATTGATTTTATTCTTAAACTTGTATTGCTTAAAATTTTCACTACAAAAAACTGAATCATATTAACTTTGAAACACTGACTGATTTACCATCTTTAGTATACATTGTGGTTTAATTCTCGATCTAACAACCGCTTTTGGTTCTTATAACAATTCTCTTTTTAAGCAAATGCTGTTGAAAATGATCTTTTGTACAGTTGTACTGAACTTGATGAAGTCACACTTTTTATGTCATTAGATAGTGATAATCTAAGATTTTACGAAAGGTGATATTTTTACTTCAAACCTTTTCTTAGCATTGTTTCCATGTAGCTGCTCGAAATTCTGTAATTTTCAGTGGATAACAGCAGGATAAACGGTACATCTTAGTTGATTAAAGAAAAATCAGAATTGTTTCACCAGAAACAAATGAGTGCCAGTGCAAAAAGTTGAAAATCGGGTATTTTTAGTTGGCAAGGTGAAAATTTATCTAAAATATAACTATGCACGCGCACTTCCTATTATAAATTATTTAAATTTATTTGGAAAATTATTTTATTATTAAAGATATTGTTTGGAATATCTATACAGGCAATTAAATGTATTATTTTACATCTTAGTAACATATGATATCAAATCATGTTATGATAGTGTGGTTAAACTAAGCATTAAAATTAAGAAACTAGTACTGAAATTTAGCGCAAAACTTCACAAACATAATTAGCTATTGTGATTAAGGAATGATACGCTTCAGTATTACAAAGAAAACTTCCCGAGTGAGGAAAATTACTGTCCACGGAACAACGAGGAAATATCGTTTAAATATTGTTTTATTCAATATTTCTGTTTGACGTATAATATTGAATAAAACAATATTATACATCAACAATTTATTCACATAATTTTTTTAGATATTGAAAATTAACTTTACTTTTCACGCTGCGAACAAAGAATTGAAATATAGAGCGTGTGAGCTGTCACAAGCATGAAAACGTAAATTCACATATTCACAAATTTCTGAATGAAAAATCTTTTCACGTTTGAATAGTGGGAAGCTGAAACAAACTGAGATGTAAGATGGGAAGAATTGGAGTATTAAAAGCGATTAGTTATTATCAACAAATAAAGTGTCCTACATTA